GGTTTACAGGTGGTGGGAAGGATTTCATCATGCAGGAATGCCACACTTATTATACATTTAATAGTGGTTATTTCACTGCTTCTAAAACTTTTTGCACTATCTTATTTCTTGTAGCCATTCCTAAGCCATGTTTTTATCTGCCAAGATGACATGTTCAAAGAGCTCTGGCAAAGCTTGTAGGAAAAATTTGTATGAAAAATAAGAAGGCTGAGTAGCACTTCCCAAATGTGAGAAAGATACAGGCAGAGTGTTTTAAAGGCCAATCAATTATGGAGTAATTCCTGCAAACTGTAGCAGTAATTAATGATTGAACAACATGCAGGATTTGGAAGCAAACAGCAGTCAGCGAACTCCATGTATGGTTGTGTGACGGTGCAGCAAGAGGAACTTGTAGCCGTTCCCTGGTAACGGGCATTACCAGATGCCCTAGTTAACAATGTCTCTGGTGCCTGTAGCATCCAGTTCTAATCTGAGATAGGCCTGGGTAAAGAACAACACCTTCCCTCCTGTGGGTATTCATGGAGAGGGAAGCAGCGCACTTCCCTAAGAGCTGCTCGGGCTCAGAAAGCAGCTGTGACCGACAGACCACACCGTCCCGGGGACACTTGGCCTTTGCCACACACCAGGACACACACGCAGGGTAGCCAGRGTGGCCTTCCTCTAGCCCTGGGATAAGCAGGACCTCTGAAGCTGGTGCAGCTGTCCCTGTGCACCTCTGCCAACAGGACACGCGTGACTCGTGCCCTTGGGGCATGGGGAGGAAGGAGTGTGCTCTGCGCTCATCTAGACCCCAATAAATGTTTCAACTTGGGCACTGCCAGTGGAGTGGGCACTAGATTGCTCGCTCAGCCTTGCCAGCCAGAGCCCACCAACGCCACTGACCTGAGTCCTGCTTTACCACATCCCCACCAGCTCCTTCGCTTCTTAGGAAAGCGTTCAGTGCTTCTTACACTGTGTCTGTACAGCACCTATAAAAGGATGTGACCAATGTTAACTGAGAAGTCTATGAGATAAAAGAATTCATCTTAAAACAAGCAAGCAAACAAAAATGATGAAATGGATGAAAAGAAGAGAGATGTGACCCCCAAAAGCCCAGCCAAACTTGGAGAAGTGGCTAGGGAACAGCAGTATTTTAGCCTGTAAATGGAAGAAAGCTGATCTGTTTACATTATTAGTGACAAATACAAGAAACCATGAAGACACTTTACATGAAATATAACTAGGTCTCAAAACCCAAGGTTGTTTTAACATTGCCCTTCAAAGATCCCAGAGAGAATCATCTTATTGAAATGCATTAAAACTAGTTTTTTTTTTTTTTTTTTTCATGAACTGCTTCCAAAAGGATGAAGAAAGTAGCTGAGAAATGGAAACCTTTTCTACATAAACTTAAACCTGCTGCCCAGGGAGTCCATCCCTTCACTGGAGAGCTTTTGGGTATGTTCAAACCAAAGAAAAAAGTTGAAAAACACTGTTAGGACAATGGGTCTATTCACCTGAGAAAGGCATGCAGAGATCTTTAAATACACTCAATATTCTGCATGTATCCTTTCTAAAAAAGGCTTAGAAAGGGTGAAACTTCTGGGCTCTGTCATTTGCCTTTGATGCCCAGTTTTCCAAATAGCACCTAAAACTTGGTGAGCAACATMGAGGACTTCAGCTCACGCGACAGCTCTGAGGCAGGTAGTATCTTCTTCCCAATCATCTCACATAACATGCCCTGAGCTTGTTGTCCTGCTAAGAATACAACTTTATTACAAAATAGTTTCAGACTCTCACAACTGCTGATTCACAATAAAGAGAAAGAATCYACTTAAAAGAACAGCAACAGTATGTGATAATGCTAGAAATGCCCTAATATGAGACCAGAAAAAAAAGATGCTCACCGTACAGCAATCTCACAGTCTTCCCAAGCCAAGATCCTATTTCTAGGCAGTATGGTCTCTTCCCCAAAGGCACCTGTGTTTTATCCTTGCTTGAAGAATACAGCCTAACAGCCGGGGAACTGCTCGGTTAGTGCGAGGCAGCCGACCCGCGTGAACAYCGCCCTGGCGTTGGGTTAGGGGGAGTCCTAGGAGCCCCAAGAGCCCCACTGCAGAGGGTGGCTTTCCACTCTGGAGAGCAGGGCCGCTTTCCGTGCCTGGCTTTGCTCGTATTTGAACCTGACAGTCACAGTGATCAAGGGTTTGTGTCCCTTTATCACACAGTGCTGCCCAAATCCTTGCCGGAATACCCTAGTGCATTCAGGCACCTAGATGTGTGGATGTCTGCCCTCCACTCCCCTTTTTGGACTTACAAATACTCTTAGCAGGAAGGGCTGAACCCAAAAGAAGCCAGGCTCATCCTTCCTCATTATTCCTCCCTAACTGAAACAGCATGAATATCAGATGTGAATTACCAACAGGCTGAGATTGATCTGTTACAATGGAATTAAAAATTTATTATTTATTTCTGCGAAAAAAAAACCTTCTATAGATGCCTAAAATGCTTTTATTTTATAAGAAAAAAAAAAAAGGAAGACAAAAATGACAAATACTGCATGGGCATAAAACCAAGCACAGGGGTTGGATTTCCTTTTCCTCACTTTCCTAAGGAGAGGCGAGTGTTAAACTGCCATCCACTAAAAGCAGCGATTTTATGCTGAGGTCTCCGAGTCAGTGAATTTACATTTCGTAAGAACACCCTGAGGGGCTTTCAGCTACTTTGCTTAAAAGGTAGACAGATACATTTACAGCAGGGCCTGCAGAGCTCCATGCGCTAACATGGCCACAGAGCCACAGATTCGCTCGCTGGCACATGTGTGTTAAGGGTGACTTCGTTCTAAGCAAGTAATGCGTAAGGACACTTTTATGTGTTGGCTGGGAATATAGTTCAGTAAAGAATGTGATTGTAATTACCAGTAACGAGGGCATAAATTTCTGATCCTTGCTTTGTTGGCTGATTTTTTGCTAGTGTTTCTAAGCATTTACATTTTACAATTGCCTTATTTATAGCCTGAAATTTGGTATACTAGTTTTTCATGCATTTGAAATGTTTTTTATTCCATTTGGTAGGAAGCTACTGCCTTCACAAGCTAGTCTTTCATAAAATATTAAAAACAGTTTAAAATATTCTTAATGATATAATAATAGATTATTAGAGATTTTCACTTTGAATACATTAATCATATAAATCTTTTTCTTATTTTGCAGAAACAGAAGCCTTAGCTCACTGTGTACAAATCCATACAGTTGGATCCACATACATCAACACATCATTTTTTGTAGATAAAAAAAATCTCTCTCTCATGTTATCTCCCCAAACTGGGTCGTATCTGCTGTATGGAGATACAGCAACAAAGGYGCACGCTAACTCACCCGTAGCGCAGGTTACGTGCCCAGCTCGAAGCCCTTCAAGCCACCTGCCCGTGCCAACAGCTCCCTTTGCTTCTGACATGGGTCAGCTGAGCAGGTCTGCRTCCAGCCCGACACTCACCCTGAGCCTGGGATACGTGGAAACCTGCCTTGGCTGGTTACACTTTCCAAGACGACTGGGATATGTGGAAATGTGCCTTGGCTGGTCAAGCCTGCCAGGACAAGGCACTGGGGAGGTCTGCATGTTGCAAGACTTGGACACGGGACATTGTGGATCTCCCACAATCCCTGCCATCAGAATCAATGTCCGAATACTACAGGGCTCACCTGTACGTGCAGAAGTACCTGGGACAAGGAGAATCCCAATTCTCTGCTTATTCAGCATCCACCATAGCTGCATCACAGCCCAGGTCTGGCCGCCCAGGCACCGCAGTGCTAATACATCCCAGTTGCTGCTCCCTTCTGCAGGTAGGAGCAGCCTCTGAGAGGATTTTAAATCATTTTAAGACTATCTCGGATTGACTAAAGTTGATGCATAAGGGGGTCACCTTGCCYCACTACAGTCAAATTGTAAATGAATTTAGCAAATTAAAATGCACCTTTGGTGTTGACCTGGCTTTCCTCAATGAGGAATCAGCCCCTTTGTTGACTGTTGTTTTTTTTTGAGCCAGCAGCTCAAATTTCAAGGCCCTTTTTTGGCTTTAGCTCTTTGCTTTAGTGGAGTTGCTCCAGATTTATACTCCTATCAGGGAGAGCAGAGTTTGCCTCTTCATATTTTTCTTTGAAAACAGCTTCAATGGCAATGTCTAAAGGTGAGCCTTTGATTCGCTGTTTAAGTGGTTTATCACAAAGATGTCAGTGATACCTGACTCTCCCGGCACCGCTTCCTGCGGGATATGCGGCAATTGGCCATGAAGGGGCCAAAGGGAGGAGGGAGGCGAAAAGCAGGAGCTGCAGTTCCCACATGTGCTGCCTCCCCACGGAGCACCTCTGAGAGCYGCCCTGCTCCTCTCTCCCTACCTCCCCTAAGGAGCAAACGGCATGAAAGGAGGGGAGGAAGGAGGACAAGGCTGTGTGAAAGGAGAGGAGGAAAGGGGACACGGCCGTGTGAAAGGAGGGGAGGAGGACGCGGCCCATGTGAACAGTGAAAATCCTCCTTGGTCGGCGTAATTTCTTCCTCTGCTCACCCAAACACATAAAGTCTCCATCCTGACCCCAATAAGGTCTGTATATAAAAACTATGCATGACCAGCTGTAGCATCTACTGGAGTACAAAGAGCCTCATTTTGTTTTTACCYGATGGCTGAAGTATTTGAGAAGTAACAGGAAGAAAACAACACTTCCATTTCACAGAGAGGAGCAAAATTCCAGTTTCTGAGCTGATTTTTGTGCCACTGTTGAATAGAATTGAAATGTCTTACAAAGTTCAAAAAGCCAAAAGGGAAATATGAGCATACTCACCACTGGGTTGCTAATAGCCAGGCGGTCAAACTGCTTGCTCACAAGTAGAAGAGCTGAGTTTCAACTCATTTTTCCGCTTTTAGCCCTACTGGGAGTCCAGTCTCTGTATCCTACCTTGGATATCCGGGGCCTAACCACTGGCTTGTCAGCAGCACTGTTTGGGCCACGTAAAAATGAACCATTCCCAAAGAACGTCTCTGACAAGACCGACGAAAAGAGAAATTGAGAGAGGCAGGTAGGCAGGCAGGCTGACGTCCAGGTTGCACAGCACATACAGTCTCCAGCACCTCAAGCTGTTACACTGGTTTGCAAGTAATTACTTATTCTCTCTTTTCCTCATTCTTCCCTAAAAATTCCAGCCGGGCCTTGAGAGAATTTCCCAGAGAAATCTGCATCAAAACCAACATACTTCCATGAAATATCTGGTATTTTTATAAAAGCTGTATTTTGACAGAAAAATGTTTTCTTGATTTTTTTCCCCAGACAATTGTCATGACAAGCTCTAATGGATGCTAGGGGTGTTTTGTACAATCCAGATAATGGAGAGAAACATCAGCTAAAAAGTAATATAGGAGCCAAGTCGGAAAGAGCCCAGTGCTCCTATTGACATCGTTACTGTCCCCTTCCCACAACACGTAACTGTACGCTGGTCAAAACATATCGCCACCTTCCCATGCCATTGCATCACAATTAAAACCAAAAAAAMCTCATTCTTAAAGTATTTCACCCAATATATAAAATTGCTATAAAAAACGGGGAGCTGATATTCTTGACCATGTCAACAACTCCAAGACACCACATCCTATTGATAATAGACTTCCATGATGCAAGCAAGTGCCTTCCCCCCAAACCTAGCCCACAGATTTGAGGGGGTTTAGAAGGKACTACCTTTCATTCAGCGCAGAACCTTGCAATGTAGCAGTGAAAAGAGAAATCCTTTGTTTTTGTGAAATCTCAAGACAGTGGCTTTTCATCTTATGTTCAATCAGAGTACAGCAGAAATATTTAAAGGGAGAGAAGAAAGGCCTTGTTTTCACATGGCCCTAAAGCAGCTTCTCTCTCTTCCTCCTCCCCTCTACTTCTGACAGAGTTTCAGTTTCCAAAACACCAAGCACCCTTTAGACTCAGATTCACCATGACCATGATTTAACAGGCCAGAGTCTAAATTTAGAGAAACTGATTGTGTGCAACTTCGTATGTTAGCTTTTAAGACTCATGGATGTGGTCTTCCTGAACAAAATATATCTTATTATCATCCTTTATTTGATTTGTGTATGCTTATACCATTTGCACCAGCAGAAATGTGATTGCAATATAATTTGCAACATTTTGAGCAGCAAAAAGTTGCAAAATTTTAAGCCTTTCGTTTTATGGGGCAGAAGGAGCTTTATACAGGCTTCCTTGGATTTTAAGTTGTCTTTTGATTAGCATTTTTTGCAGGTATTCCGGGTGTTGCCATTAGTCAGGCATTCTGATTCTCGCTTTCTAATCATATAGTCCACAATTACTATCACCTTCCACTTCACTTTTGATATCACATGATCTATTTGTGGCTATATTTCAGGTGCTCCAGAAACCAGAGCTCTCGCTAGGCACGATGTGCTACAAATTGCATGTTGCAAATTATACGCTCAGGCCTCAGGGACACAGCTCCACTTGTCAGCCTCCCGGGAGACTGGACCAGTGTAACAGCTATAGTCACTTACCCGCTCTTGGAGATAAGGGTGTTGCRGCAGCTCGTTCTGTTCTGCAGCCTCGACAGGGGCAGGTCACCCAGCTGACGATTTCATTTTCTGCTGGTGGGGAAGGAGGACACAGACGACACCTCGAGATGGCTCCTTAGCTGGAAAATGGCTGATTCTTCCAGTGTCAGCGTGGAGCTGAAAAGCAGATGACACTGGGATCTCATGTGTCCTTTTGGCTGTGGTGGGGACAATCTGGAATAGGAGAATGGGGAGTTAGTGGAGTGGTTACCACATCTACACAAGCATCCAGTTTGAATCACCTCTCTCTATCACCTAAATCGGATGACTTTGAGACAAACAGCAAAACTAAAACCAACTGAATCCAGAATTTCTACACTTCTCTTTCAAAATAACTTGGAAGCAAGTTTGGTCCTCACACAGACAAACATATTTAAATCTTTAACTCTTCTTAGTGGTATTTCCACTACAAAGCATGACAACGAGGCTCAGGAACTTTCTTTCCCTCCAGTGACATCAACCTTTACATTATTTAAGCTTTTACTGACTGAAAAAGCTTTGCTTGGAAAATAACTGTGAACAGTAGTATAAGTAACATCTTATTATTCTTATTTCTGTTTTGAAAAAAAATTGGAACAATTTCAAATATACATTAAGAGAGAAGGCCTTGCCTAGACCTGCTTGGTGCAAAACGCGGCAGCAACACAACCCCCTTTTCCCCTCCCTTCCCTTTTCACTCCTAGAGCACTTGGACTGCAGGCACCCATTCTAACAAATCATTCTAAATGTCCTTAGGAAATATGATGAGACTGCCWTTCACCAGGTCTGATGTTAGATTAAAGGAGAGTCCCACGCAGGTGGGCACTACAGGGCACGCACCATTCTCCACACACCACCTTGAGGCTCACTGCATCTGATCCAGGCTCTAGCTTTTGCACCAAGCCCACATCCAAATGGTTGCTTAAAAGAAATGGACAAGAAAATAACAACAGAATCCTAAATCATGTATCTGACCAGGAGAATCTGGCCAATCTTGAAAAATGAAGTCTGGAATAAACCAGGTTGCAGAAGAGTTATATGGATTACAGCTGCACTGGAGAGGTACTAAAAGGCCCGTGTTATGCACAGCCTGACCAGGAAGGAGGTATGAAGCAGAGCACATAGGAAGCAAAACAAGTAAAAGACCACAGCGGCAATAGCGGGAGAGTTTAATTATCTAGACCTCAGAGTGGATTACATTAAGCGGAGGAAGCAAAGCTTGATCTGGTACAGGACTGCTTTCTAATTTAATGTGTACATAAACCGACAGGGAAAGGAAGAATGCCAGATGCGGTATTAAGCAACACAGAGAATATGATTAAGGACATTAAGGTTAAAAAAAAAAAAAAAAAAAAAAAGAAAAAAAGCCGAAGGAATAGTGAGTGCCAGGCTAAAACAGCTTGTGCAGTCAGATTCGCTGCTCCACGTAGAAGGTGCATGCCCCTAGCTAAGCTCAGCACAGAGACTGTCAAGGCAGTTCCCAGTGAATTGTCGGGTGCCCACATGGCCACCGAGGCAACAGCCTGGGCCCCCCAAAAGCCCTGGCCACGTCTCCGTAGCCCTGCTTCGGCAGTGAGCCCTGGCCGGGCTCAGGGAGCCCTGCGCTGGCCCTTGCATGGGCTGCAGAGAAGCCACAGATAAGCTAYGGTAGCTCTCCGTCACCCCTGCCCTCTCTCGATCTGCTTAATGGTCTAGAAAAGCAGGCAAGTAACTCCCAGCTTGGGGCCTGCTGCTGCGCCGGCGGCCTCTCGAGGGGCTTTCTGGGTCACAGAGCTGTCGGGGGTCACCCCACTTGCGCATCAGGAACAGCTTTCCCAAGGCAGCTCCTGCTGGGCCCTGAAGACAGACAGCTTGGAACAGGCCTTTGAATGTAATGCCATTGTGCGTAAAAGAAAAAAGTTCATCAGGGACTCAAGCGCATCTCAAAACTGGGATGAGCATGATACAGGAAATCAAGCACAGACATGCAATTAAACACAAATATGTACTGAGTTGCCAAAAACTCAGGCATACAGGAATACAAGCCTGCTAGGAAGAAGAAGAATTTATTTCAGAACAAGGTCAGAAATGATTTTTTTTTTTTTTTCCTGGGGAAACACATTCTTCCCTCCCAGAAGTGTTCTGGCACGTTTCAGGCTTCCTTGTGCAYGCCCTACCAAACAGGCCTGGAGCTCCCACACGAGGCAGCACCGCGGCTACACTGCGCTAAGAAGCTCTGGGAATTCATGAGCTCCTTCTCATATAGGGTCGGATTCTGTTCACATGCACATGCCACTGTACAAACAGAGCCACTTCCACTGCAATATCTGCAGCTCCAGCCGTCTCTGCCACTTGGACTCACCCCACAGCTTGAGTTTCCTCTGCTCTAGGGTTGCTACAGTGCTTAGGTCTGTGGGTGACACTGCGTTCAAAGTTAAACAATTACAAACGCTGGCAGGAAACTCTGGAGTAGCAAACGCTTTTCAAGAAATGGCAAGGACACGAAGAAATTCAATAGTGATCCTTCCCTCACGATACTGAAAGCGCACGGTTCGCGCAGGAGCGAGCGGGGCCACGGAGGCTGCGACTGAGGAGCCAGGGACAGCCAAGAGTGATGCAGCACAAAGSCTGAATTAATTCTTTGCCTGGCTATTTACAAAAGAAGCTGAAGGTCACATCCTGGAAATGGGGATTTTCTTGAGGGAAAAAATGAAATGTTAAAAGGCTTTATGATCCAATCTGGACAGGTAGTTAGTTAATTAGAACTATTAAAAGTTGACAGGGCCCAAGACTTAGATTAACTGCGGCTCAAAATTGGGGAGGAAATAGCAAGGGAAATGGGAAAGACTTTCGCAGCGCTGCTTGCTGGCTTCCTGTGGCAGCTTTGGTGGGGGATGCCCAGAAGGGAGCTGCTGCTCCAGCTTTACTTAGTCCTTCTYCTTTTTTTTTTTTTTTTTTTTTTTTTTTTTTTTAAAAAAATCAAGGGAGAATCTACTCCCCGGTAATCCTACCCGCAGCCACAGAACGGATATTGGAAACATTAATACGGGACAGCATTATGCAACACAGGAATACACAGCCTGGGAAGGAGAGGCAGCCGCACTCATCCCAAGTCTTTCCTTTCAAAAGGAACTGTAAGCTCTTTCAGCGCATTCCTAAACGGAGCGACGAAAGCAAAGCGGTGGCTGGAACTGGTCAGGATGGAGGCAACTCGCTGGGTGTCACACCGTGGAGAGGCTGCTCCGTACAAGGGTAAGGCCGGGACGGAAGGCGAGCAGCAGCAGAGCCTTCAAAATCACCCGCGGGACCAGAAAGTGCTTGGCTGCAAAATGGAGCAGCTCAGGGTGCCTAGAGGACAGCAACAAGACAGTTCTCCCAAATTTCAGCACAATGCCCACTTTTGTTCATCTTTTACATAAATGACCTGCAGGGGATATAATTTTTAAAGTGGATTTTTTTTGCTGATAGCACATAAGTGTAAAATGGTGTACAGAGAAAGCAAATTTAAAATGATTTGAATAAATCAGGCTTATGGGCAGATAAAGGGCACATCCAGTTCAGGGCAGCAAAGTAAGACGTAATGACTGCAAGGCACCAAATATAATCACAGGCAGGAAAAAGGGAGCAGAAGATGGAACACTGGCTAGGGGAAAGGATGGAAGGTAATTATTGATAAAACACTAAAATAATGCTCCAAATAAATGGGAGAAATAGACAAATTCTTCATGCTCAAAAAGACAAACAAATTCTTCCTGTTCTTCATGTTACAGTGAGTTGTCGCTTTAGAAAAGCCGAACGGAGATACCTTCTCAGACTATGTACAAATACAGAGATTAAGACCCCGAAGCTTTGAAGAGTTGCATGGTCTCAATCAAGACACAACATGACAGATTTTACTAACATACTTTCCTCACCCTAACCCCCAAGAGAAAAACAACTTTTCAAAACACTTAGAATGCTAATTTGTGAGCTATTTATGTAAAAAGAAACACATATATATAAATAAATTGAAAGGTAGTTATTAGCAGTGAAAACAGCCTTTTAACTGCAAAGGCTATGACATTAACCCAAGGAAAATTTCATGAATATTCACAATCACCATTTGTCATTAAGAATTATAAAATGTATAAAGCAAAGTAGGGCTTCAGAAAACTCCTCCAGCCCACTACATTCCCTCTCCACTATTTCCTATCATACTAGTATCCCATCCCATATCCACCACTTCTGGCCCTGCACGGTAGAAACCAGATCCTTGCAAGCTTTCCTAATATGCCTCCATGAGGAAAAGGGAAAGGACAAACAAATCACAAAGATGTGCAAAAACATAAAGAATGAACACCTGAAAACTCAGCCAAAGACCTCCTCAGGTTTTTGTAGCCGAAACCAGGAAATTCCCCAAAAGAAAAACAAATATTCAAGAGTACAAAGTTACTGTTCCCCCCCCCACCCCCCCAAAAAAAGGTATCAAACTATCCAGTCCTCACACTTGCACAGGTCAGATCTGTTTTGGCATCCAGGTGCTACATTAATGTGTGTGCAAAGAAAGCAGAGCAGCTTTTACACGGGAATAAAATCAGAAGTCTGAATGGAGGCAAATCACAAGTCAGATGTTTCTCAATCACTGATGTCCACAAGCAGGTAGAAGGACCAAATAAAAAGATGAAAAGAACTGAGGCACAATCTCGACAGGCAAACGGCTTCTGCCCACCGGGCAGGAAGAAATGGTGCAGCCACCTCACACAGAAACGGGCGCCCACTTGGCAGGCAAGAGCGAAGGCTGCAGCACACGGGTTGGACACCAGAGGCTGGGCTCGAAAGTCACAGTAGTAAATGAAAGGCCATGGTTAAGGCAGAAACAACATGAATTATGGAGTGCAGTGGCCTCCCATGCAGAGCACACCAGACACCGGTATGTATCACCTGGTTACCTGTGCAGCCCTTCACCCCCAGTGCAGGAAAGCCGGCGTGCCAGGAGAGGCCCAGCTGTGGGGCAGCAGCGGGCAGCGCCACACTCAGTTACGAGCCCCGCACGCTTACTGTGATTAACGCTCTGCAGGTGCTGCTGCGCCACGAGCACGCACCCAAGGCACCCAGCTGCACCACAGGAGAACTGGGAAAGACAGCCAGATACCCCCATGAAGAGCAAGAAGGGCATTTCCACCCTCATGTGCTCCTATCCTAAAAACTGGAAAGAAGCGGGCAAGCAGCAGCCAGGG